CGTTCTGTGCTCGGCGGGGGAAGTTGATGCGTACACCGTAGCGGTCCTGCAGACGCTCTACCTGCTTGCCACCAGCACCGATCAGGTCGCGGTGGAACTGAGGCGCAACCTTCAAGGTGTGTGTAGCCTCGTCTTCGAGCTTCTTGGCCATGTCAAGAATGTCCTTCTTGCATTGCTGTGCCTTGGCGGAAGGTCCCTTCAGCTCGACCTTACCGTCGTTGATCTGAACATCAACGTCGTACTTCTGGCGCAGACGCTGAATGTTCTCTCCACCCTTGCCAACAAGATGGCTGGCGTACTTTTGGGGGTAGTCGAATGTAGTAACGTGGTTGCGCTCAAGCTCGTCCTTCTCAGCTTGCTCGATGAAAGCGAGAATCTTCTTGTTGAGCTCATCAACGGCGCTCGACGGTCCACGGATCGCGAAGCTGTTGTTTGAGCGGCTGTGAGGCTCCGGTCGTCGCTGACCAAACAGCGCCTGAACGGGAACCTGGTCGGGTGTAAGCCCTTCTTGCTGCTCATTGACGAATTGCTCGATCTTGCGATGGAACTTGGGGTTGGACTCAAGGCCACGAGTGTCGATTTGTGGTTGATTTTTAGTCAGACCCATGATGAATCGCTGAGCGTCTTGCAGACCTTGCTGATATGCCTTGACCTCAGCTGGGGAGGGTCGGCCACGAGGAATGGCGTACTCGTTGTAAGGAGCGTCACCCTCGTAGACGAGAATCAGCTCTGGCGATTGCTCGGTCTCATCAGGGAAGACAATGTGAACGCCATGGTTCTGTCGGACCTTTGGTGCGTTCTGCTGGCGCAGGAACTGGTGGTAGAAAGGATCAACGTTCATGGTCGCGAAACGACTAGGTGGGTGCGACTGGAAGACGCTCATGATGTCGCCACGAGCCTTCATGCTGTTCTTTCCGTCGCGAGCGTAGATTTCCCATCCGGTTGGGGCATCACGGTCTGTGGGTACGACGATGCTGGCCTCGTGCATGCGCTCAAGGTCAGCAAGGGCCTTGCGTTGACGCAGGTAGCGAGTCAGGTTGTGTGCATGCGCCTGTGCGTTGGGACCCTTGTGCTCACGGGCAGCATCCGCAGTAGCCATGGTCATGCTAGCAGCAAGGTCCTCAAGCTTGTTGATACCCTGCTCGATCTTGTTGGGCGGGCCGACAATGTAGACTGTCTCGCTGTCGTCGGAGCTCGGGGGCATGACAATGCTGCAGCCAGTCTCCTCCAAGAAGTCCTGGAGAGAGTGGCCCCGGTCACCAACGATGAACTGATGCCTGCCGCGTTCGATGGATCGCTGCTCGATGGCCAACTGCTGGCGGAGTTGCTGAGCGCGGCGCTCGAGCTCAGCTTGGATCTGCTGTGCAGCGGCGCGGTCACCAGAGACTTGGATGGGGAAGTTGGCCTGGGGAGCGAACTGGATGGGCTGGCCGCGAGTAGCCTGGGGAGGTGCCTGGGACTGCCAAGTGTGGTACTGCGGGATCTGGATGTTGACGTCGCGGCCCTGGACAAGCCTGTCGGTGTGGACGTTGTTGGGACCTGCGAGGAAAGGATAGAACTCGGCAGGGATGTCCTTCAGACGCAGGTTGACGGTCGAGGTGCGTTCGTTGACGATGGCATCAATCTCGCGACGAGCCATCTCAGCAGTCAAGGCATTGCCCTCAATGTGAACGTTGACCACGGTATCTTCATCCTCACCCGGCTCGGCCTTGGGAACCTGAATGCGGGCACCGGTGCGCTTGCTGATTTCCTGGATCTTGGAACCTTGACGGCCGATGATGTGGGCGCGAACGGAGGCGGGAACGGGGACATCGACGGATTGCTGGCAGATGTTAGTTTGGTCAGAGTAGAATTGATGGGTGCCATACCTTGGAGCCGACTTCGTTCGCGACTTCCTTGAGAGCCTGCCTGACCGCTTCAACCGGACCGGTGGCCTCGAAGATGAGAGCTCCCTGGCCCTGCTTGTAGTCGAGCTTGGCCTTGGAGCGCCTGTTGATGTCGCGGACGATCTCGTTGATGGGCTTCTTCAGCTCACCGCGGGGGGCGACCTGGTGGGCAGCGAGGGAGATGCGCTCGGTGTGTTTGCCGGGGATGTTCATGGACGGGAGGGCGGGGCCACGGCTGGGGGCAGACGGGGCAGGCGCGCTGCTATTGACGCCGTTGGAGGTAACAGAGGCCGGCTTCTTGCCCCAGGTGGGCGCGACAGGAGCCTGAGTGCGCTTGGCGGGACCGAGAGCCGGGAAGGCCTCTTCAGACGACGTGTTGAGGGCAGGCTTCTTGGAGGCAGGCTGCTTGCCAGCTGCCTTCTCGCTGAGCTCGGCAGAGGGGTGGGCAAGCTCATCCTCGTCGGGGACGTCCTCGACAGTGACATGGTGATCTTCGACGCCATGATTCTGCATGAGCCTCTGCGCCGGGGTCAGACCGTCGTCAGAGGTAGCAACTTGCTCAGATGCCATGATTGAGTATAAACCGTTTCGAGTTGACCAAAGGGTGTTCGCGTGGACGGTGGGTGGGCAGCTTAGCAGCGTGGAGCCAGCTTGACGTTGACGTGGAGATTGAGATTTCGGTGGGCGGTGTACTTCTTGTTCTGGGGGCGGAGAGTTAGTGGGTGGTTGAGAAATAAGAGCCGAAGTGTAGAAGCCCTCGCTTTCTCGCTGCAGCGCTTTACCGGTAGTGCGGGTACCAAGTAATGCAACCGTGGGATGGGCCTGTTGTCACTCGGAGCTTACCAGGAAATAGCTTACAGGGTCTTGATGCCGTTACTCAGCAGGCCATAACGTGACTGGACGGGCGGTGCGGGTTCAATTGGTGTGGAGACGACTGCTACGGTTGCAGGTGTCGTAGGCGATAGTGCAATGGGAGAGAGAGCACAGGTGGCCAGAAAGCTACTCGAAGGTACTCGAACTTCCCTTTGGTCGGTGTTGGACCCCTGCAAAGCCGCCCCACCCGACTAATTCCAATGGATCCATCCCGTTGAGCCTAGCCCTGGAGAGCCGCTAACCTCCACACCTCGATAATTGCAATCCACTCCTCGCATTCGTTCATCTGTATTGCAACAGACTGGATACTATTCGCCTGCGATACGGTTTCCGGTGGAATGGTTATCCCAGCGCGCACTAATACTATCGGAACAGATATTCACGACCTCGGTATGGTCGCCAATATCCTCTTCTCAACCACGCACGGCCAAACCATTGGCTTCTGAATATAAGTCGATGATTCTGTAAATTCTTTGGGCATTATCAAAGGAACAGGAACAAAAGGCCAATGGACTATAGCCACCGGAAGCTACCACATGACTCTGGTAAGCTGAGCATCGAAAAAGAGCATAATCAAGAAGAGAATTTCCATACCGCCGCCCATATGACCACGAATGTCAAAATAGTAACAAGAATCCCGTTTTCAACTCTCCTTCGATCCTGCTGTCCTCGCATCCTCCCTCTCTTGTCCCCTCAAATTCCCTTCTGCCCCTTCCTCGCCCGACTCTCCCAAGTAATATACCCATCCGGTTGATTCTCCTTGGGCAAATGCTGCGTCCACTTCCCGCCCAAAAACCCCACACTATCATCCTGACTCGTCCTCGCCTTCCAATAACACCAACTCCTGCCCACGCCACCCCCCTCCCCCTTCGCCAACGCCATAAACCCGTCCAGACACTCCTGCGTGAGCGGTATCCAGCTCCATAAATGGTGTGCGAATTCGTTGTCGATGTTCACTTTGAAGATCCAGTCAATGGGCTTGCCGTCGTGGCCGGTGATGGTGTAGGTGAAGACGGTGGCGCTGTCGGAGAAAATTGGGTTGGAGCCGTGGATGGAGCAGAATTGGCGCATGGCTTTTTCCCATTCGGGGACGTCGGGGTAGTGTTGCTGGGCGGTGTTGCATTGGTCGCCGCGGCGGACGAGGGTGGTTGTGTTGGTGTCATGTGGAGGGGCGGGAGGGGTGGATGGTGAAGATAGGACTGGTGCTGCGAAGGTGCCGAGGATGAATGCCTTGGGCAGATGCATGGTGTGGATTAATCTGACTCTACCTTCCAAGTGGGCGCGGGCGTGGACGTGGACGTGGGCGAGCAAAGGTGCACAACGTGATAGACATGTAGTTTGTCTTATTATATCCATCAACACCCTGCTTGTGTATTCCAGCCAACCAATAGACAAGAAGTGCTAAGGAGGCGTCGCAAGGACAAAGAGACGACTCGGATTTCCTTCCGGTTATCATAAAGGAATGATGCCGATGCCATGTCACATGGAAAGCCCTGCCTGTATCCGGCATGATCGAGAGACAGTCTCACGATGCGGCGTCGCAAAGATAAAGAAACGACCCACACATCCCTTCAATTGAACAAAGAGTGATCGTCGTGGTGCAACACGTGTCGACGAAGTGAACACTGCCATGAGATCAAAATGTTCAAGGCAGGCTATATCAATACGATCCCTGCATGACTGTGCATTCACTCCATTGAAGTATTGTACCACCCGTCCGGCAATCAAATAAGATCGCGGTCTCCCTTCTCGTTCTAATATATCGAGATGCAGAGATAAAGTACGGAAAGTCGCGAAGACGCGAAGACGCAAGACCGATGAGAGAGAAAGAGTATCTAGGTAACTAGTCCTTCAATACACCCACACAATACTCAACTGTAGCCAAGATCCACGATACCCTCTCTACCATCTCAATCAAGTCCGCGCTGTCCCAACTTCTTACAAGTGCCACCAAAGTCTTCGATCACAAAACGTGTTTTGCCATGACCGCGCATCCCCTTCCCACGTCCAAAAACAGCTTTACATCAACAAAGAACGTCAACGTGTCGCAGCAACGACCGCCGCTATATCATCGTATCCTGAAACCCGGAGACTGGGGAAATGTGTGTATAAAAGACCCCTCGTCACCTGTAAACCATGTGAAGAACCAGTGTGCAACTTGGTAGTATCTCGTATTTTTAAACCTGTTGTTATACTACACAACTACGACTACATACCCCACCGTCTTCCCCGCTACCGGTTCTAACGGTAAAAGCCCGCTGCGTCATCTCCACCCACAGGCGGCGCGCTGGGTGCTTGTTGTCCTCCAGGTCGATATGGAAGGTAACCTTGAGCAGGCGGTGCGGGGCTAGAGGTGTTACCAGGCGGCGCAGGTGGTGCGTATCCAGGCTGTTGCGGCGGATATCCATAGCCCTGCTGGGGTGGCTGTTGTGAGTAAGGGTCAGATGGAGGCTGCTGTTCTTGTGGAGCTTGCTGTGGAGGAGGCGATGAGAGTTGCTCGTATGGGTTTTGCTGTCCCTGTGGTGGACCTTGGGGAGCGCTTTGCTGCGGTGGGTAGCCGCCTGCTTCATAGCCTTGTGGCGGTTGGCTAGGAGCGTGGAAAGAGTGACGGTTGTCGACTGGTGAGTCGTATTGACTGGTCGCTAGCTCCTGGGGTGCGTAGCTCTGCGGTCGGCCTCCAACTGGTACTCTGCCTGGAGGTAGTGTGTAGGGGTCTGATGGCGGTCCTGGCTTCGGGGTTTGCTGTGTCCGTTCATTCGGGGGAACCATGAAGAAAGCAGGGCTTGAGCCTACGGGTGGTACTTGGGAAGGAGGCCCATGTTGCTGGGGTCCTCCACCATAGGCATAGCGGCCCGGGTCTTGGTGTGGGGTAGATGATACAGGTGGGTATCCTTGGTAGTTTGAGGGGGGTGGTGCATTGTAGCCGCCATATCCAGGACGGCCGCCGTATGCAGGTTGTTGGGGCTGGGACATGGATGCCTCCAGCATGGACTCGTAGTCTCGGCGAGCCTTGATAAACTTCTCGTTCAGCTGTGTAAAGTCATCTAGGAGAGTTAGCACTGGTCGTAACGCTTCTTACGGTTGACCTACCCTTCTTCTGCGAGTACTTCCCGATGAGCTCAATCAACTTCGGCCGAATAGCCAGTGTTGAGTGGTAGAGCTCGGTGATCTCTTCATTGTCTCGCGCGTCGCCTGCGCCTGGCTGGGAGCTCGTGCTCAGCAACGCAAGCAGCTTCTCCACATTCCTTATTTGTGCAAAGACCTCAGCCTCGTTCTGTGCCTCCCTCTCGAGCTCCTCACGCGTCGGATCTTGCAGCTTCTCCACGTAGTTAAGCGGGAAGATACCTGTCTGCCCGCGCAGCGATCCCTTCCACCAGTCCTTGTAAACAGATTCGAGTACGGCAATAATGTCGCCCTTGCGGAATTGCAGTTCACCGGGTTCAGATGGTTGGAAATCGAAGAGGGCTCGTACACGTGAGACGGTCGCTGCAGTTGTACCTGACGGCAGGGGTTGCGAAGGCTGTTCGGGCTGGGCACTGGGAGTAGACCCGCCCTGCTGGGGCGTGTTGGACTTGGCGGCCGTCGGCGCTGCACCCTTGGACTCTCGTATCGACATGGCAAGTGCCATTTGTAGCTCCTCTTCCTCTTTCTGGCGTTCGACGTCAGAGATCTGCGTCTTCTGTGGCTTGGAAGGCGCTCGGAGGTTGGGGTCTAAGACCTGTCAGTGTTGTACATTTCAACGCTACGTCCCCAACTCACTTTGTGACTTCAGCTTCATATAGGCATTAGACATGATTCCCAGGTCAGGGTCACGGGCGAACATGTCGCTCCACTCTTGCATGCGCTCCAGTATCTTGGCCTTGACCTGCTGATGTGTGTTGCGGTCGTTGGCAAGCCTCAGCAGCGCTTCTGTGAAGCTCCGCGAAGCAAGCTCCTTGTGCATTTGAATTCCGCAGTTCTGGCTCAGGGCGTTGGCCAGCTCGAGGGTGTATAGTTGTACGTTCGCATTTCGATGTGCTAACCGCCTGATCATGGCGGCGACCGCATCTTTGGCGCCCGTGTCGGACGATCCAACCTTGTCGCATACATCCTGCGTGATAAGTTAGCATCTGTTGCATATACTGGAATGTAAAGGCGCATGGTCGTGGCTGGACGGATGTTGCGACATCTGCCCAACTCGCCGCCCAAGGCATCGCGAGTGCTGACCGTACCAAAATGTATTCCCAGTTCTCGCTCGTAAGATTTTCGTCGGTGGCTTTTACGACAACATCGTCGAAGATGTTTGATTGCGCGCGAAACATGACGTCTGCCTGCTTCCAAGTGTCTTGAGACTCGGTATGGGGAAGCTCTCCGGGGGCGCGGGTGCCTGGAGTCGATACGCGAGTTGAGGTAAAGGTGTGAAGTTGAGAAGGGCGGAGGGCGAGCGGATAGGTCGCAAATGCGCGCGAGGTATTATGGGTAGTTTCGGGGAAAGGCCGTGTTATGTGTTATAGGGAGAGTGAAAGTCGTTCGTGTCGCAGTCAGTCGTATGCAACCGGGCTTAGAGCTCCCCGCCCAATGACGACGATGTGGCGGCCCTTACTCAGCCACAATGCTCGGGTCGCAAATTCACCAAGCAAGACATGTCAACGCCCATCACAATATACGCCCCTGAATATCCATCGATCGCAGGTACACAGGAAGAATATTCATATTCGACTTTTCTATATGCCGAGATTGCCACCTCCGGCCAAGTTTGTAACCCCAAATCGTATAGACACTAAAATTGCACACATTGTATGAGATAGTCGTAAGAGATGCGCTTCCTTCTGTAACCCAAGAAATCTGCCAGATCGTGAGATGGGATGTATGCCTACATCGGCACTCGGAGTATTTGAAACAACATAAATAATGCGCTCGCGAATATGAGCAGTTGAACAGGATATGACGCGCTTGCTAATTCGCTCGACAATGCTCGTTGTGTGGAGCAGCAGTATGAGGCTTCGACCTTTGCATACTGACTGCCGAGCAGGGGTGGTACCGCGACACGACCATGAGGGGCGGGTGGCTTCGTGCTGCCACTGGAGATGGATATGCGAACTTGTGAGCCTCCACCACGTGCGTCTGTTCATCGTTGTGCGCCATTTCGTCACCTACAATTCCATCGTCTTGCCATACCAATCGGCGAACGAATTCGTGCTCGTGTTTGACGAATCGTGGCCGTTGGTCTGCGCATTGTCCGTACCTAAGTTCCGGTGTTAAGAGACATTCATAATGAAATAAGAAACTTCACAGACCACCCTTCTTCCGCCTCTCTTCTGCCCTCGCTTTCCTCGCCGATTGTACCAGTGGCGCTAATGTGCCTAGCGGTTCAGCGGTCTGGATGAAGGGGTGCTGCAACTTGTTAGCGACTATCGACGACAAGCAATTACAATGTACTTACCACCAGAAGATCGTGAGCACTAGCCCGCTTGTCGGGGTCGACCTTGAGCGAGAAGCCCAAGAAGTCACGGAACACTGGCGACAAGGCATGTTCCTCCTTGATCGTCGGTGTGCCGTTGGTCGCGATGAGCCACAGTGCACGGAGTGGACTTTCATTCAGGTACGGCGGCTCTCCCTCGATCATCTCGATGGACATGATACCCAACGACCAGATGTCAACCTTTCGGCCGTACTCCTTGCGAGTAACAACCTCGGGAGCCATCCAGTAGGGGGTACCTACCATGGTCGTGCGCTTGTTGTGGCTTTCGTTGATCTGCGCACAGAAACCGAAGTCGGCTGTGAAATGTATTAGACTTGATAGGAGGTGGCGGTTTCGGATTCAACATACTGAGCTTGATGTTGCCTTCTTGGGAAAGCAGGATATTGTCCGACTTGATGTCTCGATGAATGACGCCCTTGGAGTGAAGATGTTGCAAGCCGTGGAGGGTCTGGAAAATTAGCGGAGTTCCCCGAGCGGGAACTAAAGACTCACCTCTCTGCACACAGCAGCTATTTGGCCTTCGGACATGATGTTGAAAGTAACGACATCCGTCAAACTTCCACCCTCCATGTACTCCATAACCACCCACAAATCGCCTCTGAGCAGGAAACTGTCCATGAAGTTTACAATGTTCTTGTGCTTGCTGTCTTTCATGACCAAAATCTCGTTGATAATCAAGTCTTTCTTAGGCTGCTGCTCGAGGTTCATCTGCTTGATGGCTACACACTTGTTGGTGCTGTTTTCGTAGGCCATGAAAACACCACCAGAAGCACCCTGACCGATCTTGCTGAGGTTGCGGTATCTCTCCCGGGGATCGGCATTAGTGCAGATGGCATTGAGCTTGGCCACGATATCCGGTCCCTGACTCTGCCTCGGCCTTTGACGTGGCCGGGGCGCTGGACCAACACGAGCCTGTTGCGATGGTAATGGAATGTTTTGGGGATCCGATTGCTGGGCAAAGACCTGTTGGGGCGTCGGCTGGGACATCTGCATCTGCGGCTGCGGCTGCGGCGCAGGGACTACAGGTGGTGCGTAGTTTGGTTGCGGGGCTCTTTGGCTGACGCTCCGCCCTAGAGGTGCCTTTGGCTGCTGCGTGGTTGCCATGGCCATGGCTTGTTGCTGCTGCTGCTGGTACTGCTGGGCGGGAGAGATCGGGGTCGAACTGGCTGGGGAATCAAATCGCGGCGGTGTTCCTCCCGTGGTGTTGGATCGGGTGCGGGACATTGCAGAAGAGCCATTGGGGCTCTCTGAGGGAGTGGGGTGGGCATAGGCAGCCTGGGGGTAGTCGTTCTCGTAGCGAGGGGTCTGGTGCTGGGTGATGATCGGACTTGGGGCCGCGGGGGCAGGCCTGTTTGGCATGGGCGCGGCGGAACCAGCAGGAGGACCTGGAGGCTTGGGCGCTGGCCGACTGGGCACGAGGGCTGCAACATTGACTGGAGGAGAGTTAACGACGGGGGAGGTCAGGCTGCGCGGAACGGGAGGAGGCGCACGCGGGTTTTCGAAGCTAGACTGGTCGTTCCGTGGGAATCGCGGGCTCTGCGGGGGACTGAGCGGGGGCTGGTTGGAGCCGTAGTTTGCAGTCTGGGGCACAATGTTGGCCTGGTACGCGTATCCCTGAGGCTGCGTGGGGCCCATCTTGTCCCAGATGGCATCTTCCTCGTTCTTCTCGGCATTGTCCTTGTAGAAGTTGACCACGTCCATGACGGCCTGGGGGTGCTGCTTCTGCTCCTCCTGCGAGATGCCATTCTGCTGGAGCATGCGCTGCCACTCCTTGGGGAGGCCCTGATCTGTTAGCACACATCTATCAGCAATGAGGGGCTACCCACCGTGTACTCGCCCGTGTGGTTGTCGATGCTGACGTGGGTGACGTGCATGGGGTTCGTGGGCGTCGAGATGGTCGGGCGGCGCGGCGAGCCCAGCATGCTGCTCATGAAGTTGGAAAAGGTGCCCTTCTTCTTTGCGCCGCCCGAGAGGCGCTTCTTGGCTGCATCGCCGCTGCCGTCGCTGTAGCGGTTCGTCTTGCTCGACGTGGTCGAGGGCGGGGTCGTCGTGGTGTCCATCTTGGAGGTGAAGGAGCGCGACTGGCGCAGGTAGCGGTTCTGGGCAGGCTGGTCGGTGTACGAGTGCTGGAGGGCGGGCCGCGGCTGGCTCGAGGCGTTCAGAGCTTCCTCGACGATGCGGTCGAAGGGCTGGCCGACGTGGACGGGTTGCAGGTCATAGGCATGCGGGTTGGGGGGCTCGTAGACTGGCCGCAGGGTGTGCGAGGGCGAGCGGGAGAGGCCTCGCGCTGGCGACTGCGACGAGGATGCTGCAGGTGCTACGCCAAGATTCGGCTGGAAGTAAGAGGCGGCGCCTATGGAGTAAGGTCAGTATCGCAGGCACGGTAGGAACACAGGAACACCACGCACTCGGCGCACGCTTCAGCGTCGTCGGGCCCTTGTTCAAATAGGCTATTGGCGGGCCTCGCTCTTTCGACGGCCCTCTCTTGGTCAGCCTCGTGGGCCGCGTTGATGACTTGTCGTCCATTGCGGGCCTGCAGAGTGTCCTAGTCAACGTCACACCTCGAGCCTGCGCAGCCGAGGGGGGCCAGGCCGGAAGGGGAGAAGAGAGAGGATGGGCGGCGCCGTGGGAAGCTCGCTGTCGCTAGATACGTGGAGAGGGGATGCACGGCAGAAACAGGTACAGACAGAAGTGATCGCAGCAGAAGCACAGATGGATCTGGCCGACTCTCCAGGGCTGGTTTTGCCGTGCTCAAGTCCTAGCTAGCGACTCTACCACCTAATCTCCACCAGGCCAGCTATACCTCCACTAGACTCCGAATACGTCTGTTTCAGGACGTGTTTCCTCTAATTTCTCAACGGCCTGCCGCCGCTGACTGAAGCCCGCCCTCTGCCCGTTGCGACGCAGCCCGCCGACTCATGCGCGCCCGCACTTGACGCCCAAAGAAGGTGTGGCGATATGCAGTAGCTCATGTCACGTCGACGTCTACATAGTACATCATCAAGTCGATTTGCGTGTCTGTTCTCTTCGCATTCATCTTTGCGCATTTTCCCATCCGTCATCGAGGACTGAGGGACCCCATTGAGCGACCATTCGCGGCTAACCCAACACCATAGCCACGCCGTAAAGTCTATTCTTATACCTGCCATCCCATCGCGCCTTCCCTGGTAGACGCTCCTGCTCTTGGTCGACGTGCGGCTCTTCCCGGCGTCGCTTCTTTCACATGCTCGGTACCTGCTACCAACACCGATGCCCAAAAACACCACCCATCCCATCGCGTCTCCCGGGCAATACGCGCGATCATTACCTCACCATGGAAGCTTCACTGCAGGGCAGACGCGTTTTGTAAATCAACTGGTAATGCCATGCAAGGCAGCGCCCGAGCTCCGAGACAGCCTCTTTCCCCCCACATCGCGCTATCTGTCGCTACGACTCCGGCCGCAGAGCACAGCGTCACGATAGCCTCAACCTTCACCCTCATGAAACACGCCACGCACGTCTCCTCTCCCACATGCAGGTCGCCGTGATACAGCATCCAACCTGCCAGCCCAAAGCACGCGAGACAGCAGGAAGTCATGCGCCAACAAATACTAATCCACCTGGGCAAGAACATGAAATGTCCAGGCAAGGAGCACGGCATCGCTCAACAACTCCGACCAGGCTCGCCTAGACGCTCCAAAACCAACGTTGCACGAACAACTCACTCCCGCTTTACGAGTCTACGAGTAATGGTCATGCAACAAGAGCCAGCATACCCCGAGCGCCGCGGCAACGGCCCATCTCCCGTTCTTCTAACGCACCCGGCCACGGCACTTTGCCCCGTGCACAACAACGCTCCTC